TACCTGAGGTTGATTCGAAGAAGCCTACAGAACATGAGGGTGCCGAGAAGCTGGAATGGGATACTGAAATGTCAACAGAGGAAATACCTTTGAGTGCAGTGCCTGAGGTCGATTCGAAGAAGGCTACAGAACATCAGGGTGCCGAGGAGTTGGAACGGGAGACTGAGAAGTCAACTGAGGAAACACCCATGAGTGCAGCGCCTGATGTTGAGTCGAAGAAGCCTACAGAACATGAGGATGCCGAGAAGCTTGAATGGGAGACTGAAATGTCAACTGAAGAAACTCCCGTGAGTTCAGTGCCTGAGGTCGAATCCAGGAAGCCTTCAGAACACGAGGGTGCCGAAAAGCTGAAACTGGAGGCTGAGAAGTCTACAGAGGAAACACCCGTGAATATAGTACATGAGGTCGAATCTAAGAAGCCTTCGGAACACCACGGTGTTGAGAAGCTTGAACAGGACGTTGAGAAGGTAATTGAGGAAACACCTGTGAGTGCAGTGCCTGAAGTCAAATCGAAGAAGCCTTCGGAACATGAGAGTGCCGAGAAGCTAGAATGGGAGACTGGCAAGTCAACTGAAGAAGCTCCTGTGAGTGCAGTGCATGAGGCCGAGTCGAAGAAGCCTAGAGAACATGAGGTTGCCGAGAATCTGGGACTTGATGCTGAGACGTCAGCTGAGGAAACTCCTCTGAGTGCAGTGCCCAGGGTTAAATTCAAGGAGCCTTCGGAACATCAGGGTGCCGAGGAGCTGGAACGGGAGACTGAGAGGTCTACTGAGGAAAGTCATGTGGCTACATTGCCTGAGGTTGAGTCGAAGAAGCCTACAGAACATGAGAGTGCCAAGACGCTTGATTGGGCGACTGATAAGTCAAGTGAGGAAACACCTATGAGTGCAGTGCCTGAGGTTGAGTCGAAGAAGCCTACAGAAGATGAGGGTGCCGAGAAGCTTGAGCGGGAGACTGAAATGTCAACTGAAGAAACTCCCGTGAGTTCAGTACCTGAGGTCGAATCCAAGAAGCCTTCAGAACACGAGGGTGCCGAAAAGCTGAAACGGGAGGCTGAGAAGTCTACAGAGGAAACACCCGTGAGTACAGTACATGAGGCCGAATCTAAGAAGCCTTCGGAACACCAGGGTGTTGAGAAGCTTCAACAGGACGTTGAGAAGTCATCTGAGGAAACTGCTGTGAGTGCAGTACCTGAGGTCGGATCCAAGTACGCTACAGAACATGAGGGTGCCGAGAAGCTGAAACGGGATACTGAAAAGTCAATGGAGGAAATACCTCTGAGTGCAGTGCCTGAGGTCGAGTCGAGGAAGGCTTTCGAACATCAGGGTGCCGAGGAGCTGGAACGGGAGACTGAGAAGTCTACTGAAGAAAGTCCTGTAAGTGCAGTGCCTGATGTCAAATCCAAGAAGCCTTTGGAACACGAGGGTACCGAGAAGCAGAAATGGGAGGCTGAAAAGTCAACTGAGGAAACACCTTTGAGTGCAGTGTCTGAGGTTGAGTCGAAGAAGCCTACAGAACATGAGCATGCCGGGAAGCTTGAAAGGGAGACTGAAATGTCAACTGAGGAAACTCCTGTGAGTTCAGTGCCTGAGGTCGAATCTAAGAAGCCTTCGGAACATGAGGCTGCCGAGAAGCTAGAATTGGACATTGAGAAGTCAACTGAGGGAACTCCCGTGAGTGCAGTGCATGAGGTCGAGTCAAAGGAGCTTACAGAACATGAGGGTGCTGAGAAGCTAGGACGGGAGGCTGAGAAGTCAGTTGAGAAAACTCCTGCGAGTCCAGTGCCTGAAGTCGGATTGAAGAAGCCTACAGAACATGAAGGTACCGATAAGCTGGAACGGGACATTGAAAGACCAACGGAGGGAGCTCTTGATGGTGCAGTACGTGAAGTCGAGTCAAAGTCACCTACAGACCATGTTAATGACGAAAAGCTCGAACGAGAGATCGAGAAGACAACTGAAGAAAAACCTGTTAGTGCAGTGCCAGAGGTCGAGCTGATGAAATCGTCAGAACAGAATGAGGCCGTACAGCTAGAACCGAAAGTTGAGAAGTCAGCTGATGACACGCCTGTGAATACAGTACCTCAAGCTGAGCCGTAACACGCCTACAGACTCAGGGTGACTTCGAAAAGAAGTGCGCTGAGGAAACACCTTTGAATGCTGGGCCGTGCGGTAGAGTCGATGAAGCCTGCAGAACATGAGCGTGCTGAGAAGCTGGAACGGGAGGTTGAAGAACCAATAAGGGAAAGTCTTGTAGGTGTGGTGCCTGAGGTCCAGTCGAAGAAGCCTACAAGACAGGAAGATAACGAAAAGCTTCAACTGGAGGTTGACATTTCAGCTGCTGCGGAAGCTGCTGTGAGTGAACTATCTGATTTTAAGCCATTTAAGCCTACAGAACATGAAGGTGTCGAAAAGCGGCCACAGGAGAATGAAAGGCCACTTGAGGAATCTCATGAGAAAGCAGTACATGACGTCGACCAGAGGACACCAACAGAATTCGTGGATATTGAAAGATTAGAACCGGTTACTTTTACAGCAGCTGAAGAGAATTCTACAGGGGCTGTGACTGAAAGTGAGCAGAGAAAACCTAGAAGCCATGAGGATATAGAAATGCTAAAACTGGAAATTGAGGGACCACCTATGGAGGCTCCTTTGAGTGCAGTTCGGGAGCACAAGACAAAAATAGAGCACGAGGGCGCCGAAGAAATTCTCAAAGCAAAGGCTGAGAAGCCACACGAAGAAACTGGACAGAATTTAGTGCCTCAGGTATTGCACCAAACACCTACAGAACAGGATGGAGTCGAAAAGCTGAAACCAGTGATTCAGAGGCCAGCTGACAAGACTACCATGCTCTACGGCGTTGAGCCGAATAAAGATGCCGAATATGAGGTGTACGAAGGAGTGAAATATGATTATGGGAGTCCACTCGAAGAAACTCTTGTTGGCGCAGCACCTGATGCCATGCTTACCGAATCTGCAGAATTTGAGCCTGTGGAAAAGCTAGATCAAGACATTACTGCAAGTGCAGTGCCTGATATCGAGCAGAAGAAACCTACTGACCTTTCGGGTGTCGAACTGGAACCATACATTGAAGTACCACTTGAACAGACTAATCTGAGTGCAGGTCTTGGGGCTGAGCAGAAAGAATATGCTGAACGGGAGGGTGTCAAAAAGATGAAATCAATTGTCGACACTGCTACCTCAAGAGGCTCGTGCGAGTGGTGTGCCTCAAGATGACAAAAAGAAACATGTGGAAATTGAGAAGCCTGCACAGCAACTTGAGACGCCAACTGAAGAGGTCGCTGTTGGCGCTCTGCCGGAGTACGAGGAGAAGGAACCTTCAGAAGATGGGGGTGTCGAAAAGCCTCAACGAGCGACTAAAAGGCCAGTTGAAGAAACCTACAGTGAGTGAATTGGCTGATGTTGAGCTGAAAAAAACCAAAGAGCACGAGGAAGTCGAAAGAATTGAACAGGAAGTTGAGAAGCCACCTGAGAAAACTCCTGTGACTGCTGTGCTTGAGGCCGAGCAGAAGAAACCCGCAGAAGAGGATGTCGAAAGAGTCAAACCAGAGGTTCACGGGTCACCAGACGAAACTCGCGTGAGCACAGTGCCTGAGGATGAGTGGAAGAAACTGATTGAGAATGATAGCGCCCAAAAAGTGGAACTAGAGTATGACTTGTCACGTGAGGAGGCTCCTGCAGAGGCACTGCCCAAGGAAGAGAGGAATCCTGCTAAGCCTGATATCGCGAAATTGGTGGAACCTGAATTGAGTCAACCAACTGAAAAAACACCTGTAAGTGCAATGCATAATCTCGAGCTGAAGAAACATATAGGACATGATGGTATTGAAAAACTGGAACCAAAAATTGGCTTACCTACTGAAGGTACATCTATGAGTGCAGAGCTTCACAAAAAACGTGCGGAACCCGACGAGTGCAGAACAGATTGAATCACATGTCTTCAGGGCACCTGAGGAGACTTCAATGAGGGCTGTATCTGAGGAAGAAAGGAAACTTACCGAGCCAGATAATGTGGAAACAGTAGAACGGAAATCTGACAGAAGTTCCGAAGATATTACTACGAGTGCAGTGTACGATGTTGAGCCGAAGAAACCCGAGAATATAAGGGAGCCGTAAAGCTGGAAGCAGATAATGAAAAACAGCTAAGCAGACTCATAGCATTATTTATGGTGTCGACGTGAAGGAACCTAGAGAACACAAGGGTACCGAGAAGGTAGAGCCAAGAATCGAGATGCGACCTCAGGATACTCCTGTCAGTATAGTTCCTGAGGCCGAGCAGAAGAAAACTACAGAAGTATTTGTGTGTCGAAAAGTTGGAAGACAAAATTGAGAGGCTAGCTATGGAGACCCATGCGACTGCAATGTTCAGGTAGATCTGAAGGAACATAGAAAATTGAGGGCATAGAAAAGATGGAGCCAAATACTGAGATGACGCCTTGAGGAAATACCTGTCACCACGCTGCCTAACGCTGGTATGGAGTCAACCACACAGGATGATGACATCAAAGATCAGGAACCAGAGAGTAAGAAACAATTTGAAAAAACTCTGAGTGCAGTGCATCAAGATGAGAAAAAGCCTGCCCACCTTGACACTATTGGAGAGGTATTACCAGACACTGAGAGACCTGCTTCAGAGCTGGCTCTGGGTGCAGCCCCTGTTATCGAGGAAAAACGTACAGAACCTGACACTGTGGGACATCTAGAACCAAAAGTTGAGAGACCATCAGTGGAGCCTGTTGCCAGTGCAGTGCCGGAGGTTGAAAAACCAGCTGTGAGGACGGTCACTGAGATCGAGAATAAAAAGCATGCTGAGTCTGACAGCGCTGAAATGCCGATATCTGAAACAGAAAGACTGGCTGAAGATACCCCTGTGAGCGGGGTGCCACAGGTCAGTAGAGAAGAAACCTACAGAACGTCAAAGTGTTGAGAACTTGGAACAGATATTGGCAGAGCTCGTGAACAGCTTCCTGTTGGTGCAGTGACGGAGGAAGGGGGGAATAAACATGCAGGGTATGTACCTCACAGTGCTGAAAAACTTGAAGCCATGGCTGAGCGACCACCTGAACCGGATGCTGTGGACTCATTGCTTAAGGACACAGGGAAGAAATTATCTGAGCCTGAAAGTGTCAGAAAGATCGAGCCTGAGTTAGGAAAGTACCAAGAGGAGCCTCCTGTAAGTACAGAACCGGAAGGCCAGGCTAAGAAAGCTACGGAGCATGAAAGTGCGGGAAAGTGGGAAGCAAAGATAGAGGGGCAAGCCGAATATATTTCTTCGTTTACAGTGCCAGAAGGAGAGAATCGACCTACCAAGCCAGAGTTCATTTTGAGTGCAGTGCCAGATAATGAAGAAAAACGACTTGCCGAGCTTGCAAATGCAATAAGTATTCAAAAAGAAGTTGAAAGAACAACTGAAGGCAGCTCTGTCAAGTCAATGCACGGGGGGCAGAGAAGAAGCTTGCAGATCCTGAAGGTATCCGAAAGTTAGAAATGGAGACTGAGAAAACCAGCTGATGACAGCTTTGAGAGCTCTCTGCCACAGGTCACAGAAAAAGCATCTGCCAAACATGAAATGCTCCCAATAATAGAGCAACAAATTCAGAAACTTACTGAAGAGTCTACTGTGAGAACCCCGACTGTGGCTGAAGAGAAGGAACCTGGCGGGGGCGTTCTAAAAGAGAAGTCTGATATTGACAGACCATCTGAAGAGACTCCTGTCCATGTTGTGTCAGAAAGCACTGAAAGAAAATCATCAGAGCCTCACAGTATCCAACTGATGAAACATGAGAACAACAGGCCAGCTGAAGAAACTGCTAGGGATGCAGTTCTTGAGTCTGACGAAAGATTATCTTCTGGACGGGATGATACGTATGAATACCTAGAAAAGCCAGATGATAGTGGTCTCACGACAATACTGACGTATAGAGATCCCACCACGCAAGGTGATTTTCAACAAGGTGAACAACCAATTGAAAAGTTGCTATCTAAAGGATCAGAGAGTGACTTGCACGAAATTCCAGACAAACTAAGTCGCGATTCGACAGGATATGGAATTCATGAAAAAAAGTTTGACGCTCCTGTGGCTGAAAGAACAGAAATTGCAGATTCGAAAGCTGCTAAGGCCGAAGATGTCGAGAAGACATCTCTCCATGAAAAGTCTGTAAAGCGTTGTGATAGCAGAGAGGAAAAACCGCTAATTGAGACACTGGAAGAAAAAACAGATAAAACACATTCAGACGAGCCGGTAGGCGAAACTTTGGTTCATATTATGGCAAGCGTTGTAAGCAAAAAGCCTCCTGACCATGACGAGCAAGAACTTGCCATTGAGAAGTCAGAAGAAACAGATTCTTCCAGCACCAAAAGAGAGCGTGCGGAGAGAAAGCCCACCAAGCAAGAATATATCGAAAGTGAAAACCCGTGTTTCAATGAACAAGCCCTGCAAACTCCTGTTAGTACTCTCTTTAACGTTGCCGACAAAAAGACTTCTGAGCACGAAGATTTTGACACGCAAGAACTGGAAATTGTGAAGGCAGTACAGAAGTCTCCTATACCTGCTACATCAGAGATCCCACATGAAGAGACTGCACAAACTAAACATCTTGAAAACCAAGAAGCGTTCAGCAAGCCTGAGGGTATTTTCAAACAAGCACACGAACCTGAGGACAATCTAGATGATAAGAGTCCTGTGAGGGCCATCACGGAAATCACCGACACAAAACCTATTGAGCCTGAATGTGCTGACATGACAGAATCACACGCCTACGGACGAGTAGATACAGGCGCTGCGCCGGAGCTTGCAGATGAGAAGATATCTCAGCCTGAACATCTTGAAAAACCTGAACCAGAGACTGAGAAACCAACATCAAAGGCAGCAACAGTCGTAGACGAAACGCATATCATGCCTGATATGAAAAGTGATGATTTAGGAACTGAAAAGCCTGCAACATCAGCAAGCGAGACCCCAGCCACCGCTGATAAACTATCTCTTGGAACTGATGACTTGGACAAGCCAGACACAGGCATTCAAAAGGGGCAAAAGTTGGACCATGGTGTTCTGCAAACTGCTGGACACAAACACGAATCAAATGACATGAAGAATATCGTTAACAAAGATACTGCTCAAAAACCGGTCTCTTCGTTTGGACACCAGGAGTCTGAAGTTGCTGTCTCCAGTGAAGATGAATCAGCAACAAAGTCTGAGGAAATTAGTGACGATAAAACTGATAAATTCGAAAAAGGAAGTTTATATGAGCAAAGCTCACTTGACCAAGAAGGTATAGTAACGTCTCCTGCTGATGAGACCGGTGATGAAGATGGTAGTAAAAGTATTCGAAGTGACTCCATACTCGACAAGACTACAGCGGAAGTTCATGAAGTTGAAGATGTTGAATCAGCTGTCGATGATGTGGTGGATGAAGGTGTTGTAACCTCTCCATCTCACTCTATTGATGATGATGCCCTCCACCTGCATGCAGAGTATGAAAATCAGCCGTACGATGGAGTACACATCACTGAGCTTCAAGAAGATCATGAAAAGAATATTTACGTAAACAAAAAGAGGAGGCATCGGATTATGCAAAACCAAAAGACTTGGATAGTTGTGAACAAGGGCTAACAAAAGCGCAGGATGAGGTCACGCTACCACATTTTGAGACAAAGGAAGTTGAGCAAGATGAAGAACACAAGCCGTCTTCTCCAGAAGCCAAGCCTTTGGCAGATTTATTGCGTAAATTGAGTAAGGACGAGGGAACTCAACAAGAAATAGGACACATTCAATTGCACGAAAGTGTCGGTTCACAATCATTCTTATTCGGTGATACCAGCTTCTCTGACGCCGCGTTGCCGGTAGAATCATCAGACTTGCATCAGCCAGGCTACCTTCCACAAGATTATGAAGTTGTTCGATCCACTTCTTTGATTCCGGAGGTAGATGGCACAATCGCTGAAGACCTTATTGCTGCCAAAGAACAAGCTCAGAAACAGCTTGAAGATGAAGGGGAAAATGATGGGCTACCAAGTTTTTTCCGAGCAAGCTCAGGGAAAGATCAATCAATCACTGAGAAGACTCACGGCCTGCCACCAGTGAATGGGTTGTCAGACTTCCCGGAATATAGCCGAAGACCATCTGAACGCGAAGATGCACAGACAGAACAATCAGAAAAAGCCAGTGCCCCAGTGGTTTCTGAGTTGCCTGTTGACTCCTCTAAAGTATCTGACGCACAACAGCATTTTCAAGAACCACGTGAAAAAGCACACAGTGTTGAACCACGCGATTATGAGCCTTCTGCTCCGACAAACTTTGAGCGCCACATCGCTTATTCTGACAGCATTAGAGGTACTGTCCGCACTGTTGATCTTTATGGTGCACATGAAACATCGATTGACGAAACGACTGCTTTCTCTTCTTACCCGCTCACTTCAGAGGAAAAGGACAAACTAAACACAGGTACTGATGACATACCAAATTTATCAGCGCAGAAAGGGGACTCCTCGTTTCCTGAAATGCTGCAAACACAACCAAAAGGTACGAAGTTCCCCGAGAAGAAATCTCTCACAGAATCACCTGATATTTCCGATGAGACATCGTTTTTGGCAGAAAAAGAAAGCCTGACACCCAAAAGGTGTACGACTGGTGATTACATAGCAGAAAAAGCAAAAGTGACTGAAGCTGGACATTTGCAGTTGGTCGATAAACTTAGCCAGCAGGAACCTGAAACCGACGCTGCTATCAGCAAAGGGCACCTGCAACGTGATGAAGTACCTGAAACACAAGGCGACAAAGGAAACGATGAACTGAAGCTTTCCTCTTCAGCTTTAAAAGACAGCGGCGAAACACTACAAGAAGTAGCTCTAATGAGTGGAGGTCAAGCAGACTTTTTAAAGGCACTAGAAGAATCAGTGTTGCATGTAGAAAGTGAGATCATATCAGAACACTTAGATAACTACCTGAATACAGACGCATCACCTGCAAATCGTGACGAAGACCACGTAGACAAGGGGCTGCCAGCAGATACCAATCGTATGGTGTCAGTTGATGATACCTTGGACAATAGTGTCTCACCTAAGCCTTCTCTTTCAAGTGAAGTGGAAAAGGAAGTGACCAAGCAGGAACTCCACCTATCTCTCGACGCTGCTCCCGGTGTAGTCCCGAGTGTGTACAGTAAAGCGAAAGAACTGTTGGAAGAGTGTGTGGGTGCCACTGATTCTACTAGCCCTGAGGCGCGTTATCAACGGTCAGTCCAAAAGGCTCGGTCAGCGAAGACTCGTTTCGAAGTGTCGTACAAAAAGACTCCTCAAGAGATGTCCTTGTTAAGGATGAACAGGGAAATGATAGAGCTTACGATGAAAGCGTTCTTCCGGCAAGTGGTGTTACGACCGGATATGACTTCAGATCACCTACAGAAGTTCTTAAAAGAGATTTTGTTGAAGAAACGTCGCATACACGTGCCAAAGAGTTGGACGTAACCACGATGTTCCCGTCACCGTCGCAAGACGAAGAAGGAAGACAGCTTTTGGAAATCATAAAAAGCCAAATAGTTGCTGATGAGCCCGCAGATTATGTTACTACAAAAGAACATGATTTGCTATGGGCAAAAGATATACCACCAGCTGATTCCTCAAAACACGTTCCCAGTGCCACACACGCAGAGAGTGGTGACACAGGCTTGGACAGGTCAACAGACTCAACAAAAAAACATGATGAAATGCTCTCAACCATTCTAGACCAAATTTCCAAGGAAGATTGGGATGGAGTGACTCACTCTGAAACTGACAAAATACAGGTTTCAGAAGATGTGGCGGTGCTGCAGTCCAAACTGTTTGTAGACAGCACGACGAAATTTCAGCTCCAAGCCGATGCACCTCTCGGCTTCGAGGACCAACGAGAACCCTCAGGTTCTGGGCATTCATTCGTAAAAGGTAACTATAACTATCAACACTTAAATATTTGGCCATGTCATCACAAAAAATCATGTCTCAGTTTGTGAGTGGGTCTGCAACTAAGTGAAAGAGTAACAAGGAGCAGTTAGTATATAGACTACTCCAATGCAGGTACTGCACCAGTGGTGTTCTCGCCAGCCATATTTTTACGTGATTGACAAGTCGCTTCCACCGTATAGTATATACAAGCTATATTTACAACAGCTGTCCCACAGCTGACCGGTTCAGCTCCGAGGGCGAGCAGCACAGAGGCCGTTGTCTTCATCGGGCGCACTCGTATATGCTTCAGGAGCCTCGCAATATGCACGTAGCGTAATCCCCGGTAGCAGATGCACCATCTCGGTGTGTTAGACGGCAACAATATTACGTATAGAAGCTGCCAGCCCTGGTTAGCACTGGTTGATGTTCGCTAAGGTGAACACCGCAATTACTGTCCAACTACCACACCATGACCACCGACTACTGCACTCAGTGTTTGCAGCAACCGCATACTGCAAGCACTGATTAGTACTACTGTTACAGCTTGCTAGTGTTGAATGAATGAAGACTAACGTTGACTTACGTGGGCTCACGCTGCTTCAGTTGTGGCTAATTGGCTTCTAGTGCTGGCTAAGATTGATAGTTTCAGCTAGTTTTGGATAGTACTTCCTTAACCTCGCTGGTTCTAGGCTAGTACTAGGACACAGTGAATAGCGTGAACCCTCATTTGGCGCAATTAAAATTGTTAATTCATCTGTTTTATAGTGCACCTTAAATAATACACCTGTTTTACGCACAATTATAAACACCCTTTACTGTGATAAGGGTGATTTTTAATATAATAGTACCCGCTAAAGCTCAAATCTTAAAAAAAAAACAAATATTAAACTCACTGCATACGAAGTGTCCGTATTCTCCGTTTATCTTGCGGACTAAGTTTGTATAACGTTTAGGCGAACAGAATTTTTTTCGACGAACTATCTTCGAAATCACGATTCTGGTTTTAAAACCTGCGCCTTGAGTACACTGCATAGGGTCAGGAATGGGGAGCGGGACCTCGAGTTCATTCAATCTGGAAACACCCAGTGATAGTTCTTTGAAGGGGCCCTGAAACACTTTTTCAAGTAACCATGGATTGGATTTCTTTGAAGGGGCCCTGAAACACTTTTCCAAGTAACAATGGATTGGATTTACTAAAAAAGCTTATTGCCTCACGAATTCAACGCTGCAAAAATTTTAAGAATTCGTGCTGTACAAGCCGAGTCAAAAATATTTGTCGAACGCTGCAATCGCATTCTTTTTTCTCTCGCCCCGACGAAAGCGCTGGAGGCTAAGCAGGGAGGGATGGCATGAGCAAATAAAATACGTCAAGTGTGCCTCGTCACCTTGAGCACTTTTTTTTTATCTTCGAATATGCAGCTTTTGCAGTAGTGTGATCGCGCGCACGCGTGGACAACTCGCGGCCTCTTGCGGCGACCCCAAGTGCACAATGTTCAAATCAGCCAATGGTTTACAGATGGCCTTCTACGAGCGATTTTTGTTGGGTGCCTCGATGTATGTGGAGACAGTGATTTTGTGTACACCATATGGTTCAAACGTGTGCGATCGCTGGCATAGCCTTGCATGCAGAGAGGGATCGCTTTCGGTGAAATGCATGGTAATTTTGCTTAGTTTATCCCTTTGGGCTAAATGTTTGTAATAAATAGATTAGGCACTAATTATTACGCACGAATGATTTGATGACGAAACAAAGGCATTTAGAGCTTATCTATTGGTCTGTCTATCTCACAGGCTGTGTAGGTTCTCGTGCTTTCGTGGCCGATTAATTTACATGGCATGACCAGAGCATGCGAAAAACATAAATGTCCGCTCAAACATGAAAATCAAGACATGCCTTTAATGTACGCCATGACATACTTCACAAGGTCAAGGATCTACAACGGCCATTTGATCACCAGGTACACAAAATATAACATGGAATGATAAGAGCATGAAGAAAATATGCATGGCTTGTCATAACATGAAGACATTTTCATGCATGTCATATAGGCCATGACATACATGACCCGGTAATGGAGCTCTTACGGCCGCGTTATTAAATTGATGTGTACCAAAACTGACGCGGCATAATAGGAGCGTATGGCTAACGTGAATGACAGGTCATAACACGAAAATCATGTCATTCATGCCATGTGTGCCACGACACTCATGACCCAATCATAATGTTCTAACGGTGGTTTTATTAACTTTATCTATACCAAAACTGACAGGATATATGATAACAGCCTAAAAAAGGAATTTACCTAAAATGGCTGGTTCAGGATTACATTAGCCCGGATGAGCTTAATCCAGCTTTATCTCTATTGTCTTACTGTGGCCATACTCAGTCATCCAAATGGCTAGACAGTTTCAACTTATCGATGAGTGACTGGCTTAAGAAGTGCTCATATTGGATTAGCTTATTCTGTTTTAATCCGGACGGGCAGAACAAGACCATGCTCTCACATCCAACAGGCAAGACAATCTCAACTCACTCCAAATTCACTTTCTCGTGATTAGATTGATGTGGATTAGCTTAATCCACATCGCCCTATTCTCGTTATACTCGGTCATCCAAGTGGGTAGGCAATCCCAACTTACTCAAAATAGGTTTCTTTAGGATTAGCTTCATTTGGATTAGCTTACACTTTAATCCAGGCTCACTTAACGTGGTCGTCCTGAGGCATTCAACAGTCATGAAAATTTCATTCTAAATTTGCTTGTGATTAGCTTAAAGCGAATTAGGCGAATCCGGCTTAATCCACACTGGTCTGTGGCCATACTATATCATCCCACTTATCAGACAAACTGAATTCACTCAGAATGGCTGGTTAGAAATGACATTATTCCAGAATAGCTTAATCCGACCTAATCCCAGCAATATGATTCTGGCCTAATTTATAATTTCTTATTGTGGCCATACTAAGTCATCCAAAAGGCTAGGCATTTTAAACTTACAGATAAAACACTGGCTCAAGACGACGAATTAAGATTCGTTTTTTCACTGCTATGACAGGCTGCTGTGTGCCATTGTGTACTAGTTCACACGCGAAAGGCTAGTTGATATTACCTTAATCTGGCTCAATCTGGACAGTTTTAACGTGACAATGCTCCAACATTTAACAGGCTAGCAATCTCAACTGAATTCAAACTCACTTGCTCATTATTAGCTTAATATGAATTAGCTTAATCTAAATTGTCCTGTTGTGGCGATACTCGGTCATCCAACTGGCTAGGAAATTTTAGCTTATTCAAAATTGATAGTTGAATATTCGGATTACCTTAACTATGCTTAATCAAATTTAATCAGATTGGCTTAATGTGATCATACGCAGTCACCCAAACGGCTAGTTCTTTTTTTCAGATTTACACTACAATTACATCGAAGAAGACCCCCTATAAATTCCTGGGCATTATTATCTGTTAGATCTCATTAATGTTGCGTCCAACAAAGGAAGCAAGCTTCTAATTGTAAACTTCTTTCTGTCATTTTCAATTCACCCAAAATTGACTGGTTCATGATTAGCTTAACCCGGATCGTAGTCATGCTTAATCTGATAGAACATCGCTAAGTCAGGTCTCATCTACCTCATGGCTATGTCACCTCACTTTGGACCGGATTATCATGTTTCAACATAAGCTCCAGTAAGCTTACTTAATCGCACTTGACAGGTATCTATGAGTATATATTGGTATCGACAAGTGCTAAACTGGCTTGTCCAAGCTCATTAGGCTGCGATGTGCTAGCTTTACCAGGCTTTTTCTGAGCATAGCTTGGTTTAATCCCGTGGGTTAGTTGATATCAACGCGATTAAATCAATATTGATTTGTATTGCTTACTATTGATTGTTTTGAATACGCTTATTCAGCATAAGATATGATTAACTGGTCTTGATCAAACTTATCTATAAGCTTATCGATAAGGTAGCCGGAGCATCTATTCACTCAGCATGAAATAACGCAAAACTTAACATCCTTTTTGTTAAAGCACCTTCACACGGCCATCATGCGATGCAGCTCTAGCGAGACAAGCAAGGATTTATTTAACAGCACGCTCTCTGACAGTGATTCAAAAATGCACGACCACATGCTGGACAAGTCAACAACTAACCTCGCATATCTTGGTGCTGTCGGTCGGATGCCAGTGGTCGCGCTTCACTTGTGCTTCCTTCTATTTTTCTTCGCTCGCTTTTTCCAGGTAAGCTAAACATCCACTGGCCTTTAGAGCTTGAACTAGTACACAGTAGCACACAGCAGCCTGTCATAGCGGTAAAAGAACGGATCTCAGTGCGTCAAGAGCAATGTGTTAAACAGCACCGTTCCCACGCTTGCCTCTGTGCGCCACCCGACACTTTTGAACCAATATGGCCGCCAGGCGGCAAGGAGTATTTCAAAAGGTGTCTCCACCCTGGAAGCGGAGGCGCGCGCGCACATCGAGGCCCCATAGTTTTCTCTCTTGTGCAAAGCCGTGGTACAGTGTACTAGACCTGGTACACTCTAGCTGCGGCAAGCGCCAGCGTCAACTCCGCCACCAGTGTAAGCGTTAGCGCCCGCTTCTTCGCATCTACACATTGTTCTCTTAAGTGGAAGATGGTGTAATGTTTGTTATACGTTACTAATATCATCGCTAACCTCTGCGTAAAACTCGGGCATTACGCCGATGACTGCGTGTTATATGAAGAAATAAGAGAAGGAGACTAGCTTAGCTTCAAAGGCGATTTTAATAAGGTTTCTTATTGGTGTAAGGAATGCCAAATGTACGTTAATTAAAAACAGTACTGTTCTTTTCAAGGAGCATATAATATCATCCGCACCAACAACACGTCTATTGGCATATAAAACACTCGTCCCTCTACTTTTAAAATATGCTACAAGGATACGTGACTCATTCAGTTCACTAATCACCGATATTGCAAAACTGGAAAGCTCACAAAAACAAACTATTAGTTTCATTTATACTA